GAAGGAAGGAAGGAAGGAAGGAAGGAAGGAAGGAAGGAAGGAAGGAAGAGTCACAGCGAAACACAGCTTTCTCTTTTTCAAACAACGAGCTGATGTTGTCTAAAACACATCTGTCAGATGTTTACAATGGGAGGCCACATGTTTTACAAACTAATCTATTTCTAAGAACCTTTTTCTATACGTTTTTTAAAACTAAAAACATGAGTTTCTCAACAGTTGTGTCACATTAAAAGCAGCTTTGGACATGTGGATGTTAGATGAAACATCTTGGAGACTTTAGAAAGCCGACAGTTACAAAGTAAGAATGAAGCTTGAAAACTACCGTATTTTCTTCCACTGTACACGTTGCACCGCCGTATAAGTCGCATCAGTCCAAATATGTCTAATAAAGTTGAACACAACATAAATATGTCGCTTCACCGTATAGGTCGCAGTTATTATGCGTCACCGCTGACCTCATGGAAACATGGGCCAGTGGGATGCCAAAAATCGACAGGAGCGTGCACGGGAGGACTTTAACAAGAATTTAACAAGATTATCACTTAAAAACAATTATTTCTTTGCTTGGAATTATAGTAAAGATGTGTCACAGTTGAACTTTTCCTTAATAAATGTACTTTGACGGTCAAATCAGCTGCTTTTTGCCTGGTGGTCACGGCAAAATGCAGCTGATTTGACGTGCGCTCCAGGAGTTCTGGAGCGAGAAGAAGGTGGCAGCTTGAGCAAATCAAGTGTCTCATTAATATACACTTTTACCTATTAATGAGACACTTGGCTTGCCATATTTGTCGAGGGCCCTCTAGCGGCTGAAAATGGTAATGTTCAATATTTTCCATGTCGGAATGAATGAAATCGTCAGCTCTCAGACAAAAATTGGGCTATAAATATGAGGAAAAACATAAATACATCGCTTCGCTGTATAAGTCGCAGGCATGCTAATTTATGCAAAAAACTACATCTTATACAGCGAAAATTACAGTAAGAGAAAATAATAATCTAAAGCCAATACATTTTCACATCCATTCAAGTTACCTCTTGGTGCCGTAGATCCAGGCCACAGAGATGTTCTCCAGGATTACCACCACCGTGAGGGGCAAACCAGCGGAGTAATCATCAAACATGGTGACGAAATAGTTCCCTGAACGCTGCACGAACAGCAAGCCTAAGAAGAAGGCTATAATACAGCAGACCACTGAGGGACACATGAGAACACAACAGCTGGTGAGAAACGGATCCTGTGCTCCGATTTTAACACGTGAATGAGCTGCCAGGTCAGGACCTACCACACAGGATCTCCTTGCGGACCTTGAAAGCGTCCAGTATGGGTGTGGTGATGCCGGTCATGGTTCCGATCATGCTTCCTAGGCCCAAGTTGATCAGCATGAAGAAGAACATGACGGACCAGAAGGGACTGGCAGGGAAGTGGGTCATGGCCTCTGTGAAAGCAATAAAGGCCAATCCGGTGCCCTGAACTGCCTACAGGAGGGAGAGACACACCCTGTAGTTACTGATGGTGAAAAGTACAGAGCTGCTAGAATGCTAATAAAAAGAACCGCTATTCCTCCATTAGTAAGTGCATTTATTATAATGCTCATATACAAGTCCTCATGAAGGCAGTAAACTCATAAAAATGTCCTCATAGTTGGACACTGAAGTCCAAACATCTGCCTTCTGACCTTATTCAGCTCATCCTCCAGGATACAGGCGTCCAAGCCCAGCTGGCTGAAGCTGTCCTCCTTCACGGTTTCGATGACTCCGTACATTTCGCTGTAGTCCTGAGCCGACAGGTGGGAGAAGTTGATGTGAGGAGGAATCAGCTCTCTGCTCAGCACACCTGTGTTCAGGTAACCCAGAATCTTCTCTGCATTCCTGCAAAGGTGTTAGTAGAAAGAGGAGAGAGGTCAATGTGGGTATTAAAAGTAACAAAGAGAGATTTGTTTGTTTCTGTAAGAGGTACTCACTCAACAACACATTTCTCATTCATGATGTTCGCTTTGAAGCCCAGGACAGCGAACACCACCAAGGTGGCCAAGATGGAGGTGACGAAGTTAATGATGGAAACCAGTGCGGCGTCAAAATGACAGTTGTTGTCTCTCTTGTTGTAGCTGGAGAATGCAATGACGCCTCCGAAGCCCAGACCGAGGGCGAAGAAGACCTGCGTGGCTGCTTCTCTCCACACCTGCGGCTCCAGCATCTTCTCCAGCTGGTGAGATAAGAACGAGAAAAAAACCCCCCATCAAATAATTCTGGAACTAATGTCATTTATCTTTGTATCTCGCGTTTATTATGTATTCTATCATTAACCTTCTGTTCAGGCACCATGATGATGATTTAAAGTAAACTTGACCATTTGATTTGAAATATCTGAGATTATTTCTTTAATTTTCATAGACGTAAACATGAACACTTTAAGTAACACAGTCTCCTTTTTATTATTTATATTTCAACATTAAATAAAGCGTTTCTGTCTCTCGTGTATTTTAAGTGAAAACAGAAGCTGGCAGGTCAGCCTCACTTCTTCACAGGTCTAAAGTATTTACAGAAGAGCAAACTTATTTTATGAATCTGCGTTTAGTTTTTTTTATACGCATGGACAGCAGGATACATAAAAATGTTACTCTAAAATAAATGTTTACAACTCTTCAAATCCATATTTTGTTAATTTAAATTAATTAAGGAAACCTTACCTGATAACCTATGATTATCATCCAGTTAATTCTAATTAAAAATTAATTCTCAAAGCTAAAACATGGACAAATATTTGTGTACCTCCAATGACTTTCACGATTCATCCTTGTTTATCATTTTAAATGAGCATCGCATCAAAATATGAATATAGGAATTTTGTAGCTGAGTTTTGCCACTAAGACTGCAACAATGATTCCCTTCAGACAAACTCCATTTATCTTTTTTTTTTCTTTAGCAATCTAATAAAGAGTGTAGGCACACTGCTGTAAGTGTCTTTCTAATCTACTTGTTTGAAATGTGCTGTCTGTACTAGATTATGCAGTTCAGGATTTAAAAATATAAATGTAACTTATTTGGACCAAGGTCTGTGGTCTAAATGCCAGCCAAAGATCTAAAGATAAATAGCATCGATCTGTCACCCACTGTGATAAAAACCACTGGGAGATGAGTTGAATGTCATGAAAATATAGTTTGAAGAGAGCTGCATTCATTTGACAAACTCTAGTATTAAAATTAAAACAGAAACTATGCATTAATAGCAGTTTTACAGACAATTTGTCATGCACATATTTAAACTTATTTTACTAACAGACAAATTTAAGGGAAAAACCTTCCCCCAAAAGCAATACATCCAATAAAGTGTTTGCACTTGATTCTTTAACAGTGAATAAATGCATAGTACATAATCCTGTATGTAAAATAAAATGTGCTGTATTTTAAAAACGAGGAGTGACAATATTTTTAAATACACAAGCACCACAAGAGGGAGACACTGACCTATAGCAATGTAGATAATCATATTTTTCTGTTGAAGGCCTCTTTCATTGACAAGTTTTATGCATTTCTACATTTCCTCTAAGAGCAGTGAGTGTTTTCCCTCGTTTTGACGAATAGCTGATATTTCTGTCCTTAAAATGTCCCCAAATCCCAAAGGGGCAACAGAAAAAATGATGTTCTCCTGCTTTTCAGAGAAAATACTCGCTGGTTTGCTCTCACCTTGGGGGTGAACATGTGAGCGATGCCGTCCACTGCTCCCTTCAGCAGCAAGCCTCGGACCAGGAAACAGAACAGCACCACATACGGGAAGAGGGAGCTGAAGTACATCACCTAAAAGAGGGAGAGAAAGTCAAGTGCATCACACAGTGTTGCCATGGATACCTTGTGAGACCTCACACATGGAGGGAGAAGTGCCGTCACACACACAGACGATGGATCAGTCCCCGTTTGCTCCACGGCAAATCTGTGAAATCTTTCAGCGCAGAGAGGAGATAATCTTTCCACAGAGTTGCAGAATGATTACAGCTCTGACGACTGGAGTCGATCAGGGTGTTTTTAAAAGCATGTCAGACTTTGTGTGCAACATCTCTCTATTCTGCAGGCTGGATGTTGTGCTCTGATGTATGACTCACAGTTTGGACCCAGAATCAAAGATGTTGATGTGATTCTTGCCAACGTGAGAACCAGTTTGCTTTTTTCTTGGTTCAGTTGAAGCTTATGAATGCTGCATGTCCCTGACTTCCATAATACAGATGAGATCCAAAAATAGACGCGTGAGAGGCTTAGCGTTGTACCTTTACCCAAAAAGCAGAGTCAATAAAATCCTCTCTGTCAGGGATGAATCGCTGATTAAAAATGAAAATGGAAAGCTTTTGTTGAAAGGATTTATCTTTACATTGCCTCGTTGTGGTGTGGGACAAAATGCAGAGGATTATTCTTTATGACATGCAGGTTCAGCGCCCCCACCGCCCTCGTACCTTCCCAGAGGACTGGATGCCTTTAATGACTGCCAGGCAGACCAGGATCCAGGCCACCAGCAGGGACAGAGTCATCTTCCAGTTCAGGCCGCCGGTGTCGTCGATGGTGCTGGTGATGTTAAGCGTCTGACGGTACCAGAAGTAGGTGGTGGCAGAGCTTTTCTCACATTCTGGTTCCACAACTAAAACAGAAGCAGGAAAATAAAAAATAAAAACAGACATGAGCATCTTTCCGTGGAGCTGGACACAAATTAAGAAAAACTTTGTTCAAATTTCAAGTTGTTGAAATAATTATTTCCATTAAGGAAAAGCATCTGCAACTTGCACGATGATGAAAAGCTTGATAAAATAATAATAAATAAAATGTCTAATATTCCTTGAATTAACCTGCTGCCTTATTTTGCTAAAGATGAAAACTAAAATTGATGAGTTAGATCTTTTTTGTTCAAACCTTTAAATTAAAGTTTTGAACAATCTCATGCAATACTGAAAGATGACATGCTATATGTTTGGAATGACTCTCAGCTACTACCACAACAAATTTAATCTAAACATCTGTAAAACAGGTTGTAGCAATGTATATGTTGGCTAATATCAATTAACTTTGGTAGCCATTTGAATTTTCTCAGCACCAAAAGTTATTCAGATGCACATAAACGTCCAATTATTCCCTAAAGTTTTATTAAAATCCATACATGTGAACTATTTTTCTGACAGACTGGTGAAAATTTAAACTAATTTCTTGCACAATGTGTTTGTGCTCAGATTACATGTTGTGGATGACTCTCAGCTGCTACCATACAAAATGTTTAGGTCAATATCTGCAGAACTGAATGAGTTTCAACCTTTTAGCAGTACAATTAATATTCTAAATAACCAAAAAGCAGAACAAGAAAATAATCGGCCAACTATTAAAATCAATCTTCAATAATTTATGTATTTAGTAAAACATCTGTAAATTGTTTATAGGAGGTTTATGTATTTTTTTTTCATAACAATGTGAGCTAAAGGAATATTTGGTCTATAAATGTCAAACGCAGACTTAAAAGGAGGAACATGAAGGTAAAACAAATAAAATTAAAAAAAGGCTTTATTTAACAAAGTTAAATAAAGGCAGTCAAAAACTATATTAAAACAAAAAGAAAGAAAAAATGGAACAAGGAGGAGAGAAACAAGGAGCACTGATGAGATGAAAGACTGATGAGCAAACAAATAATGAGATACTAAAGCTAAACAACAAACACCTGGGGTGATTACAGATGAGGGACAGGTGAGGGTGGCAGACTACCGTATTTTTAGGACTATAAGGTGCATTAAGTGAAACAAAACTGTCAGATAAGTCAAACTTTATTCAACTCATTCACAATAACCACATAAAATTGGTTCGAGGTCAGTAAGCACAACCAGAATTAATACATAAGGCGCACCAGATTATCAGGCTCACTGTTGATTTTTAAGAAAATTAAAGGATTGTAAGTGTGCCTTATATCAACAAAATACGGTAATTGGAAAACCACTGAGGGTCAATGAGAAAGAGCAAGACCTAAACCAGAAAACTAAAATAAAACCTAACAATAAGTACAACATTACTAAAGAATAAAGATTTAAACTGAACAGCAAAACGCAGCAGAACCTAAAGGACAAAAATAAAACACAAACCACAAGAGAATAAAAGTAAAAGATAAATCAAATAACAGAAAAACAGACAATGATCAGATTTACTGTGAATCATTCTAATCTTCACAGAGAAACAGCTACAGTGAACAGGATTAAAATTTCATTCATTAAAAAGCTGTCGTAAAAACATTTTCAGGCTATCAGTTCTGAAATTTTAAAAAGTACGTTCTAATACATTTTGTTTCACGGCGCTAATATTTAAAATATTTCCCTCGGTCTGAATTAAAAAGAAACGGAGCTGGCTTCTTGTTTCTCGCGTTAATGAAACGCTCCTTTTAACGTGTCTCTGCAGCAGCTGTCTTCTGACACACAGACAGCTGGGTCAAATGAAACGTCGGACCACAGAGCTGCCCAGTTGGCCCAGGCAAAGAGATCAATGGTTCTGTTCGGTCTCTGCAGAGATGCTGCTGCATGACCCCAGAGCCAAAACATAAAAACCTGAACAGGACGTGCGTTAGCATCTGCTGAGATTATGTGCTAACTGAGACGTTTTCTTGTAATCTCACATTAAATGGGCAGTGTTAATCCTAAACTATACGCAGGGCAGGATTAAGGATTTATGTACCCCTTGGCTAGAGCTTTTGGAGCCCCATTGACATATTTCTTTTCAACACAAACAATTGTTAAAAAAAAAAAAAAAAAAAATCAAGTGCACCATTCAGTTTCTACTCACACGGAGCGAAGCTTCTTTTAGATTTAATCTAAATCTAAAGTCTGAGGACAAACTACAGAGCAATCATTTGATATTATGATAAAGTCTGCTCTGTCTGTTTATTTTAATGATCAGCCATTGCTGCAAAGATTGAAAATGGACCTGAAAATTTTCTCCATTTAAACTCAAAAGCAAATAAAAACAAAAAAACACTAGAAACCATTAAGCATCTGTAAATTGATGCAACTTAAAACTCTTTCCAGTGATTTGGCCTTGCACTGCGTTAAAAATGAGCAAAATGGGGAAAAACATCCATTCATTAAAAACAATAATACTACTTTGAGCCCCCCTAAACTATTTAGAACATCTGGCCATGACTACTGTATACTCATATTTTGATGACGGTCGTGTTTTTGAGCGACTCACTGGCTTGGGTTCCATTTCTCTTGATGGGGCACTCAGCCCAGGGGAGAGGATACTGAAAAGACTGGAAGAAATAGAAGATGCTCCAGCCGATAATTACGTTATAATAGAGGCCAACAAAACCGCACACCTGAGGAGACACGAGACAGAAAAGCAAACCTTATTAATCACACAAACACGAGGAGCAAACGGCATGCAGTGTGTGAAGGTGGGGCAGGGCGCAGACACACAACTCAGTCTGAGTACATATAAATTATTGAGCTGTTTGCTCTCAGCAGCCAAGGCCGCTGTCCTCAAAGATGGTGGTATTTATAGCCGCTAGAGCACATAGGAGCTACGGCACGCCTCACTGCCCCCGGGCAGGACTCTCCATCCACCAGTTTACATTAGATTGATGAAACGAGGGTCGGGATGAATGACCCACAGAAAGACTGAAGCAGCAGATCACTGACTGAGCGACTCAGCTGCTGACGGACTGCGCTCGAAGCTGGGGATGCTAATGAGACAGGGACATGATGGGTCACCGCTCCGGCTGTGGATGGAGGACAGACTGCAGCAGCGATCAGAGCATTTTATTTGCTTTAAAACAACAGGAGGCAATATGAGGAGGCAGAGCGAGGTCAGGAGAGTGCATCATGCAGCACAGCTATTAGCAATCGTCCCATCTAATCTGACTCATTTTTATTAAAACTTGATGTTTAAAGGCTTTAACAATGGAGGATTTTTAAATGAATAATAGATCTGTACTGAAACAAGCATTCATTGTAGGAGCACATATCGCCTGCCACCTTGGGAGGTCAAAGTTTGAAACAAAAATCTTGTGTGATCAGTTAGTGCTCAGAATGTGTGATGGGAATGAGGATCAGCCACTACCACAACAAGTTTAAAACAAAACATTTGTAAAAATGACTGAGTGGGAGTCAGTTTTGTATTTGCCAAGGTTGCTTAGTGTGGGGTTTCTGTCTTTTCTGTGTTTTTCTGCACTCCCCTGTGTTCAGCTCCTGTCACACCTGTCTCCGTTTCTAATCACCCCAGGTGTTTCATGTCTCATTAGCTTCTGTGTAAAGTCGGTGTCTTTTCACTCCTCCTGTGTCTGGGTTTTCTCCTTCATAGGCTCCATGGCTCTGTAGCTGCTCCACCTGTCTTCTCCTAAAGTTACATTTTTTTTTGCTGCCCCGTCAGCGCTTTGTTTTATTTGTAAAAATAAAAGTTCTAATTATTTTGATTTGTGAGTTCTCCTGCCTCCACCTGCACGTGGGTTCACACTTAAAGCAGAATCATGCCAATTAGCTGTGGTGGCCATCTTGAATTTAGATGATTTCAGTTGCAAATGGACCTTTTTACAGTCACTAATGCACATGCTCAGTCAGTATTTTGCAATGCATTGTGGTCCTAATACTTCCAGTTCAATTAAATACACTTAGTCCAAAAGCAATGTTCATACCTAACTCTGCTTCACCAGTGCTCTGCAGTCATTCAGAAGCCTGGCACGTCACTCTCACAACGTAAAATAATAAAACTAATTTACTAATGTGTTTGTATAACAGTCGAATAAAGCAGGTGTAAAAGACATGGCTATGAAACGATTTGTGCCCCATTTTATGCATTAGTAATTGTAAAACGGTCTATAAGTTATAGATGCGCATTAACAATTACTTTCTGACGTTTGTATTCAAGTGTCATGAGCTGCTGAGACAAACAGAGCTGACTCCAACAGTTATTTGCAAAGTTTTGAACAAAGCTATTGTGCATTTTATTAGCTCTTCAATTACGTGTTGGGGACGACTCTCACCTACTACCACACCAAATTATAGCTCAATATCTGTAAAATTCAGTTATTTTTTGTGTTTGCTAAAGCTGATCAGCTGTGGCAGACGTCTTGAATCATGTTTACTCCAAACAATATTCACTATTATTCAATATTTCAATGTCTGTTCAATGGTTAATAGGATATTTTGCTAACAGGCAGACAAATGAAGCCCCCCCCCTCCACACACAGATTACGATTACCTTTATTTATTAAAGCAAGTGATAAGTCAGTTTTTAATGAATAAAACTCCAAATGAAATTCCAGTTTGTTAATTAATAAAAGGGCCTTTTAGCTGCTGTGTGATTTTTGTAATTTGAACTTTTACTTTTGTTTTACAATCTTAACTGTGTGGGTAGAAAAAAAAGACAGGTTTTTGCACTGATATTAATAAGTAAAACAATTAAGATTATTTGTTGAATATGAAATAATTCAACTTTGTACAGAGCAATTTAAAGAAAGGTGCGAGTAAAAAATATTATTTCTCTGTTTACTCAAATGATCATTATTTCATTGCTTACATAAATGTTTTCATATTAAATAATAAAATTTTTAGTGAAAATCACAGAAAAACTATTAAATTAACAAAGTGCAGAGCTATTAGTTCCCCATCACAAATTATTTAAAAATATCTATTTTAGCCACTACTTAAATGCTTAAAGATCTAAAAATTAAAACCTTCCCAAACATTTTAAGAATATTATTATTATTTTACCTCATATTTAAAAACTCTTATAATTTAGCTGCAGATTGAAATATTTACAGGTCAACTTTAAACAGAAAGCTTTAATTCACACAGATTGATAATTCAGGTTATCAGATCCTTTCACTTTCATTCTGTTGCCAACAAGAAGTGGACTTTTGTGATTTTCAAATATTTTCAAATTTACTGAATGGATGTGATAGTTGACGTCATGTTTTTCAAACATAAAACTGGAACTTCTCAGTTTTACATTTCACTCAGCGCTATAAAGCCCCCAAAATTAAAGAACACTTTTAATCCATCTTGTTTTGGGTTTAAATCAATAATTTGTTCCTCAAAAAATCTCACAAAGAACTCAAAGAGCTCCTACAGCAGAGATTTTCAGATGTCATAATCACCAAACTTAAGGCAACGGCACTATTACCATCAAGCTGGAAACGCCGATGCCCCCCAGCTGAGGGTAGACATAGTTCCACACCCCGATGCTGCCCCTCCTGATCCTCTGACCCACTGCCAGCTCCAGGAAGAACAACGGGATGCCGATGAGGAGGAGGAGGATGAAGTAGGGCACCAGGTATGCACCTGACACAGCAGAAGAGCAGAAGGGACACAAATTACCGTATGTTTTGGAACATAAGGCAAACTTAAAATCCTTTAATTATCTCAAAAATCGACAGTGAGCTTTATAATCCGGTGCACCTTAAGTATTAATTCTGGTTGTGCTTACTGACCTCAAACTGATTGTATGTAGTTATTGTGAATGAGTTGAATAAAGTTGGACTCATCTGACCGTTTTGTTTCGCTTAATGCGCTTTATAGTTCAGAAAATACGGTACAGCTGGTAGTTTTTATTTTAACATCTGAATGCTGATTGTGAAGCAGACAAAGGGACGGCGTTCTATTTAATCAGGTTCTGTTTTTAGTTTTTACCTTTAAACACGGACTTTACTACCACTCCCTGCATCACTCTCAGTTCGGACATTTGCTTTTTTTTCCCTTTTAACTTCTATCCATCACGTCATCCGCTGTCGCCCTCTTCCTTTTATGTTTTTTGTTCAAAACAGGAGAAAAAGAGAGAACAGACGGCGATCACAGACAACAAGTCAGATCCAGTCCTGCTTACGTCAAGAACCGAAGGGACACCATGGTGACAGAAGCACCCAAAGCCAGAGAGGGTTGGTTCACAGACAGCACACACTTTCTATCCACACTGGACTCCATAAAAATACTGATTTTATTCTCATCTGAGGCTGACGGAGAGGGAAACTAAAGGTGTCATCTTGATTTCAGTTCTGTTCTGAGAAAAGATTTAAACAAAATCTGTTGGTGAGGAGATAAATAAGCTATCAAGGTTTAAATGTTTAGATGTTTTCTCCCAGACGCTGCACAGCCATGCATGAACGACTTAATGAAAGAATACGAACGGAAAACAAATCTAAATGTTAAAGAGCAGGAAAAAAGCCTAAATCTAAATGGAAAGTGGTGTTACTGAGCCCACTGAGGCGTTGAACAACACTAACTAAAATTAACCCAAATTAGCCTCATTGATTAGCGGGCATGCTAGGACTGGTATAACAAGGCTGCTGAGAAAATCTCTATCAGTTCGATTAAAATGTGTTTTTTTTTCTGTTGACAAATGTGTTTGCCTCATTTTGCAATTAAAAAAAAAGTTATTTGCTGTGCTGCAAGATTTCAAATGTGTACAAAACATTTAAATTGTACTAAATATGAAGCATTATTAAATTTAAAGTAATTTATGGTCATTTAAAGTGGCTGCTTCAACTAAAACCTCCCATTATTCAAAGGTAATATTAACAGGGTTTTAAGGCCAATTGTTTGAAATAAAAATCAACATTTAAAAAAAAATTAAAGAGAAAATTTGGTTTGTCAAAGTGAATAAGGAAATTATTGGTAAAAAAATCAGTTCAACCAGTGGATTTTTATTTATATGTCAAGTCCGCCTGTCAGCTGAGTAAACAAAAAAAGTCAGAAATTGTTTTACCAACTCTGGGTAAATGTTCATACTCCTACCAGGTCCCACCAGGAGACACAAACACACAAATAATGTTACTAAATTAAAATTTAACCTAATTAAATTAACAATTTGTCCATGAAGCAGCGCTGCTTTTAGTGAGGAGTGTCTGATATTTGTTTGTAAAAAAAAAAAGACAGAGGCAAAAAAATGAGCAGCAGCAAACCTTTTATTGCAAGACAATGCTGCACCCTCAGCTAAAAAGTAATTAGATTACTTAGTAAGTAGTAATCAGATTGAATTTTGTTTATGGTTATTATTACTTCAGAACAACACAGTTACTACTCAACTTACTGAGTGTTGTCTTTTCCTCTCAAATTTATATTTATGGAACAATATTCATATACTGACGTTCTGCATAATAATATTTTATTCTGTTCATTTTAGACCTGTTGTTCTTCTTTAAACATGACGACTAAATTTCCCTAATCAGGATTATCACTGTTAATGCCACTTGATTGTATGTGCTGCTGTTTATCCATGCTGCTGATCTCTTGCTGCTGATTCATTTCATGCTGCTGTGTTCATTCATACTCATCTGCTCACACAGACTCATGTTCATGCTGCTGTTCGGTGTATTGTTTTTGTAATACTAGTGTTTAGTGTATTTCTTAGTTTATATCTTAGATCTTATTACTGTTTTCTTTTACAATTTATACTTTTGTTGGATGTACCTGGGACCCTGTGCTCTCTCTCTCTCTCTCTCTCTCTCTCTCTCTCTCTCTCTCTCTCTCTCTCTCTCTCT